CGCTCCAGCACGGGGGGGGGGGGGCTGACATGTGAGCCCACTGGTCTCGGGGGCTTGGGAGGGTCATCGATGTAGTGGGGAAGTGAGGAGGCACTGATCTACAAGTAATATCAAAAATACAAACCTAGAGGACAACAAAGAAAGCTAGACACCAGAGAAGGCAGAATTATGAGGGCTTTGGTCTTTTTCCCTGCCCTTGATTTATTTAGTCACTGTGTGCTCCCCCCCGCCCGGTTGCCTCTTGGCCTTGTGATGAATTTACCATTGTTCCTGTGCAGCACGGATGGTGCTAATTAATAGGGTACATCCTGCTGAGGCAGGTGCAGAACCATGAACAAACCTGTACTGAACAAACACCTTTATTTAGAGAACAATCCAATGGTCTTAGGCAGTCAAAGAAAATTATGTTTAGATGATCTTCATGTTGGTGTAAGACTATGATGATACGCCTGTCAAAGTGTGTGAGCTCAGTCATTTCAACACCTAAAATCACCCCAGTGTTTGCAGCAACCGTCCAATACAACCATGCAATTTGACTCATCCACCAGCTAATCGTTTGACTAATCATTACCTCACTGACTCTTATTATCATAGCAAATTAATCAATTAAGTGAGCTGGTGGTAGAAGTTACTGTATCCCGAGTTGAAGCTGAGGTGTCCCTGATGAGGTTTGGGAGCTGACCTGGTGTTCATCTAGACATCCAATGAGATATCAATCATTTTTTGGAGAACAGAAGAAATTCATATTTTTTTTACTCTTAATTTTCATGTGTCCTAATGTTGAATTGTGTTTTTTTTTTGTTCTGAGAAATATATGTCTACTACTGAGATAAACAGCCTTAAACATTTCCTTTAACTTTGCACAGTAAACTTCTCCTTGAGTTTAGCACGGACACGTTCAGAAACTTCATAGAAGTTATTCACACAGATGATGGCAGACCCACAAATTCAGCATCATATTCTCGGGATTCTTGAGATATTTTTCTATTTTAGTTTTTTTTTCCGGTTGGCGTTTAGCAGAATTCCAGAAGCACTGTTGTGCTGAAGAGTGAATTTTTCCACTGGGTCGTTACCTAAGACGTTGATAGCTGATATTCGTCCCGTGGGGCTCCATAAATGAAACGTCTCTGCTCTGGTTCCAGGAGTCGGAGCAGAAGATGTTCATCCACGTCAAGGGCTGCGTCCCCCAGTTTGAGAAGTGGCTTCAGGACAACCTGACTGTGGTGGCGGGGATCTTCATCGGCATCGCGCTGCTGCAGGTGAGCGCCTCCTTCTGGTGGCACAGTGGGGTGACTATCTCCACCACACAAGGCTTCCCAGTAATTCCCCTCACATTCACCTATCAGCCAAGGCAATCGCATGACTTGTATGCAAAACTGAGAATACACAGAATCTTACAATTTACATTTCTGGGTGGGCTGTCAGTAGAAAAATAAAATCAGTCTGGCGGCCATAACCCTTTTGTGAAACACGCCTGGAAAGCCAACATCTGTTTCCAGTCAGTCCCGGAACATTCTATTGCACGATGACCCCAGAGTCCACCGTCGTGTCAGAGGAGTCCCAGACCCTGATGGGACGTGTGGGGGTGTAGATGAGAAGGGAAATGCTTCAGGGTGACGGAGCACAGCTTCTGGGGCGGCTAGGAGGAATGCCCCAGAAGTGGGCCTGTAGTGGAGCATTCTGGGTAAAGTAGAGATGCAGCACTGCCCTGCACCATAAAGATCAACCGTGGTAGATACAACACCCAGATATAAAAAACATTCAAAGACACATGCTGCCGCTGGACTGTTAAGCAGAACCGGCTACAGAGCACATATATCTCCGGCTCTGTCTTCTTTACCCCGGCTACCAGAAAAATATAGGATAGAATTTAAGATTCTTTTATTTACTCTTAACAATCAGACGTACACTTGTATCTGTGACCTTTCGACTGCAAACTCAGCCAACGGGACACTCAGATCTTCATGTTACCCCCCCAGGTCTAAGTATAAGGCCAGGCCTGATGGAGCTTTCGTGGTTCTAGCCCCCAAAAGCTGTGGAACAGTCTGCCCATGGACATTAGATAAGCCAGCAGTATGGGCTCTTCTAAATGGCATCTGAAAACTTATTCGTACAGACAAACCTTTTACTGATGTTCCTATATATATATATATATATATATAATTTTTTTTTCTTGTGACATTTATTCTTGAAAGGTGCTATTTAAACAAGCTACATACTTACTTACTTAACAATTACTGGAAGATAGAAGCTCCACGGATCCTGATGTCGTTTCTTGTTGATGCAGATGCGTTTAAAACTGTCAAACTAAGTATTCAATGATTCTCTGGCTAATTCTTTTGTGTTTTTTGTTTTCCCCTCCAGATTTTCGGTATTTGCTTGGCCCAGAATCTTGTGAGCGACATCGAGGTGGTGAGGGAGAGCTGGTGAGCACGCCTTGGCTGTCTTGTGGTCTGTCAGGCACGCCTCACATTTGGTTACATGCTTTTACAAACCTTCTACACCTTTGAGCGTTTGGTCTATTGTTCAGGACAACAAAAGGAGGTACCTTTGCCCCGTAATATGTGGGGAAGATCTGGTATCGCTTCTGGTGGCCCAGTCCAGCTTCCTCACACAGAAGACTCAAGGATTAATTACAGATACATTTTCAAACCTGCCCTTGTTCATCTTTGTTTTGCAGTGAATGGATTTGGATTTTTTTTCATGTTTTCTCAGTAATTTTAGTCCCTGGTTTTATTATTAACTCTTTCACAATCAGGTAATGCAACCTTTACTTTAAGCACCCATGAGCTGACTATATAATATAGAGTTTTTTTTTAATGTATAGTGCCATCTAGTGGCAAGGATGTATAAAGGCAGTTTATTTTTTTAAATGAATATAAAGTACAGCATTCCAGGATGTTTTACTGAGGGCACTGGAGCATCTTAGGGAAGGTTGGACTGATTAGTGGTGACACGAAGTACTCGTGTGAGGCACAGGGGCACTGAGCTTCGGACATAGTGGGGACAGTGCTGGTCCATCGGCTGCCTTGCCAGGGGCATGCCGGGCCGCGCTCTGCGAGAACGGGGGACCTGAGCCAACAGTCAAGATAAATCAGTGGGCTGCTTTCCATTCCCCGGAACAAAGACCTTCTGTTTGCTGTGGAGATGTCCAGAACTGTACAAAACAGTACTGACTGCCGACGTCTTGTGCCACCCACAGAAACCAGTTGGAGGAATTCTTATTGCTCTCTGTTCCAGCATCTATAGCAACCTGTTTATAATGGTGAATCCAGGTCAGGTTGATGGTGGTTGCTGCTGGTACCAGCTACCTGTGCTTGCCTTCTGAGCATGCCCAGTTTTCTGTGCCCTTTAAATGCCCCCCCCCTCCCATCACCCCCATGACCTTTCTCAGTAGCAGTGCAACTCTTTCCCTCTCTTGCAGTTTGTACAGCTGAGATTGTAGCCAGCACCCCCTACTGGACTTCCCTGTTAACGCAGGTAGGTATTACTCCACAGCCACTAGGGCAGGGTTCCCCAGTTCCGGTGCTGGGAGGCCAGTCTGTGACACAGTTTGTAGATTCCCTGCTCAAGTGCTCCTGCTAAACCTGCCAATTGGCAGGTGAGCTGAATAAGGTGTGTTTGAGCAGGGAAATCTGCAGACTGTTGCAAACTGGCCTTCCAGTACCAGAAGCGAGGTACCGTGCACTATGTAGACTAAGTGGTGTTTCCTGCAGAGTCTGGATTTTTTTCCCCCCACTAAGAATGATCAGCACATTTCATTCACTTCATTTAAGCTGATTTCTTCTCTCCTTCCGCAAGGATCACGTCAAGCTCATCACATCAACGCCTTCGAGAGAAGGACAGAAAAAGCTACAACCGCGTAACTCAAGAAGCTGATAAACTGGAGACTCCCTGTACAGCATCTTTCACAACGTGTATATACAATATAGATAAATATATTCATAGTTTTGTATGGGTATCATGAGTTTTTCAAACGCCGGTCTGTACAGACTGTCACACAGAGAGCAGCCGTGTACGTACAGTGCATGCCTGATGGGGGCACCAGAGTTACTATGGTTACTTCATGAAATCACTAAGGCTGGCACTATGCAGATTACCAGTAGCAAAGTCTACACTCTATAGTGTGTGTACAATTTTGCAAAATTACTACACAGTAAGATACTAATTTGTAACGCTAAACTCTCTGATCTGACATTTTGTATAGGAAGTCTTTACATGAAATGTTCTAACTACCTAGAAGGTTGTGTCCCTGGTTGTACACTGTGTCACAGCAGCCAGGAATGATATTAGTTTGTACTGTGGAGAAATATTACATTGTTTGTCTTAGGAGGAGGAGGGGAGTCTGTCCATTCCTCAGCATTATTCTAATTAAGATTACGTAATTAAGGCTGGGTGTGCCTCACAGGAACGGCTAACTCCTTGCCAAATGGTCGATTTGTAAATACAGCCTCAGACGTTGGAGGAGATTGTTCTGTTTCGTATCGTTAAAGGGTAGTATTGTCCCGATTGTTTCCACGTGTGGTGTTTTTAACCCTCCCTGGCAAAAAAACTGCAGTCGAGGAAATAGCTGAAGTCTGCCCCAGATCTGATGCCGCTCACTTGCTGGAGCTCTCCAGATCTGTGTGTCGTGGGAAGTCACACAGCCCCAACCTGGAGATTCATGTGTGGAGAGAAGCCTGACTCATCTGACACCGGATTTCTCCACTCTGACCCAGAATTGTGGCGACGTACCCAGCACCAGGGGGTACTGACCTTTGAACTTTCACCTCAACCCCCAGCCCCAGTTCAGCATGGGAAAATACACCCCCCCCCCCGATGTCTGTACCCACTGCCACAGGCGTAGGAAATAAAAACGGGAGGAAATGACCAAATGTGGCGTCTCGTGTGTTCCTGAAGAACAATGACACACTGCTCCTATGTGGCCAGCAGAGGTGGGTAGTTCTGCTCCAGAAAGTAAAAATCCAGACCAAGATTTTGTTTCAGTCACCCAGTTAAATCTACCCACCTGTGGAGGCCAGAGACCTTTTGAAGGACACAGCTAATCTCCCATGGTGCACCTGTTCTAGCAAAGCATTTAAAAATGTGAACGTGTGCTGATCTAAGTAGGGTTTTCCCCCATCAGAGCGCTTCATCTTGCTCAGCTAGCATCTAAAGGAGCACTATTTAAAGAGCAAAAAACGATCGTTCACGATTAGCTTTAATATCGGCATCATTTCTTGGTCGTCGTTTTCAGTCCAGCGGAAATGTACGGCAATCATACTTGTGCTTAGTGAGCGGCCGGACAGGATTTCCTGGTGGTCATGGTGATGAGAAGGGGTGCTGCAGGGAGTGATACACAGAAGCCAGGTGCTAAACGCGGGTACGGTAGAGTGCTGTGGTGTGAGCTCAGCACTGTGGCTGAGCTGCTCCTATAGGGATGCTGGCTCCAGCACTATGTCATGTGACCTCCACCACGCACTGAACACGGCACCAAGTCAGCGTCCTAAACACTATGATTTGGAATTTCTTGGGAAATTTTTATCGAGGACGACCAGCAGGGGGCACCCATCACCTGTTCTCTCAAACAGCCGGGGGGGAAGGTGGGGTGAACACACAGCAATAGCCCCATCTATGTGGGGGTGGGGGGTGGAGTGAACACACAGGCCTCTGAGGATGAATGCCGGTACGTCACTGACGGGACAATGAGCAGCCAGGCCAACAGGGGGCGCCGTCGCGACGATGTAGAAAAAAATGGTTCTGTTTTGCTGGAAGGATGGTGAGGGCGTCTCGGATGGGGCTCAGGTTTCATGTCGGCATGCAGAGGCGTTATGGCGATGAGGCAGGACTGTGGACGGAAGGTCCCTCAGCCCTGCACCGTCAGCCTCTGCTCCGTCAGCGACGCCTGCCGGGCCACCGTCTGGTTCTCATGCGCTCGCAGCTTGGCCACCAGGTCCAGGAAGGGCAGGTTCCGCACAGCTCGATGCAGGGGCTCTGCGGTAACACACAGCGCGGGTCTCAAACACAAATCAGATGTGAGTAAGCGCTGAGAATTCTGGGACCCCGGCGCTCACTGACCAGAACCCATGATGGAACAGACAAGGATCATGGAGTTGTACTGGATCTCGGGGGCGCTGTGCTCGTCCGACAGCAGCCTGTGCAGAACCTGCACCAGGCCGCTTCTCTCAAAGTCTCCCTCCGCCACGTCTGCGCGTCACGCACAAAAACACACAATGTCAACAATTCACTTTATTTATCATGCAAACTCTATATAAGTATATATTCAATTGTAATGTTTTTTCAGGTCACCTTCAACAGTATTTCACTGAGGTATATTGAGTTCCCAAGGATAGTTGGATTAGCGTTACTGAAATTATTCACTCCATACAGGTACTGGTATGGGATTAGAGGATAAATTAGCAGAGATTGTGTGGGCCTTGTGACGCCACTGGGCATCCCACCCCAGTTTAGTAAAAGAGAGAGCCCCCTACAGGCTGAAACAAAATGACCACCCCTTTCGTGCCCTTACCCAGGTCCAGGGCTGCGATTACCCCAAGGGCCACCAGGGATTCGTTCTGCATGATCACATGCTCGTTCGTCGACATGGCAACCAAGTGCTTCACACCGCCTCCCTGGACGATCGTTCTGACCACATCCTGGGACAGAGCAATGGAAAGACAATGTGACTTTGTATTCCCAGGGAGCACGTGAGTTTGTGAGAAG